ATATATTCTCACTTGTAATATTAACAAGTAAAGAAATAATTTTCAAAAAAGGAAGAAACTTATTTCCTTTTTTGAAAGTTTTTTTCTTTACTTGTTAATATTACAAGTGAGAATATATTAAACTAAAATATGGTTTACTATGTAAGATAATAAAAAGTTAAGCCTTTTATACCAGTCTATTAATGTTACATACGTTAATGTCCTTTATTGACTTCTGTGTTTTAACACCAAAAATAGTTTCAATAAATATACTTGTAAGCTACATATTGTTAGATTTGAATAACCAAAGGTCTGTGTAAAATGTGATGTTTCTACGGGTATATTTACACATAAATAAAATCATAACCATTAAACCTGGTGGTCAACATTTCTCAATGTAAATAATTTGTAAGCTTGAAAATAAGTTCAGTTATATTTCCAATTATTCTATACAAATTATACTCAGTAAGACTCAACAGAAAGTTATACATTATTTTCCTTAACATCATGTTAAATGTAATTCCTTCTTCAGTTAGTTTAATCTAAAAACTGCCATAGAATAAAATACATGTTAAGCAACTTCTAGAAACTAAAACCTACTTGTATAAAATGAGAACTTCCTTTTTCATAAGAATACTATTTATTTATAACAAGAAAGTAACTATATGTATGGTGTGTTAGTTGTCTTTCACTCACCACAGTGATTTTATATTTATATAGGATATGAAGAATATTTAGTATTGGTACTTCATATCTATATTAAAAGCTTAATATCTTTCCAAAAAGTGTTATGGACAAACAACTTGATATATGATAAAAATAACCACTTCTTACTTGAGGTTTGATTACCCTGTTGTTAGAGGATAACCCCTTTTGAAGAGATGGTGTGCTAGGGGGTGATCCTCTTTCACTAGGAGGTTTATCTGGAGGAGGGGGAATCAAATCCGCCCAGTTTACTACTGGAGTTTTCTGAATTGGCCGTAATGGTTTCAATCTTTTTTTGACTGGAATACCACATTCATCTGTAAAATGCATCAAAAGTTCTGTACTTTATATAAATGTTTTCTAAATCACATTTCTGAAAGCATGGTTAAATATCAAGACATTTTAAAATAATTCACAAGAACTTAAAATAATGAGTTAGGACTGAGAGGTTTATTGTCCATATGAATTAAGTTTCAAGAAAAGTGTCTTGATATGCACCCTTACACACTCATGGATTATTGTGTTAATTGATATGTTTGTTTGTAATCAACACAAAGCTACACAATGGGCTATCTGTGCTCTGCCCACCATGGGTATCGAAACCCAAATTCTAGCGTTGTAAGTCCGCAGACATACCACTGTGCCACTGGGGGGGCAATTGATAGGTAGATCTACATAGCTACATGAGACTGAATGAGTAATAATTAATTTCATAAGTTATATTGAATCATTGTATTTTTGTCCTACCCTTCAGTTAAGCACAAAGCTACACAATGGACTATCTGTGTTCTGCCCATCACGGATATCGAAACCCAGTTTCAAGTGTTGTAAGTCCACAGACATACCGCTGTGCTACGGGGGGCATTGTCCTACCCTTGATTATATTTTTATTCACCACAGGTAATTGCATTTAATAAGCAGACAAAAAAGTAACACGTTTTATATATTTTTTCTTTTTTTTCTTCTAATAACGACTATTCAAAATCTCTAAGGAAGTGTATACAACTTAAAATGCATACAGATAATAACCATTTTATTTTCATATAATAGAATATATTATACATATTTTTTCTCTATTCTTTGTTTCAGTATTGATCTAACTGGTATTATCTGTGGTGTCCCAACATCTGCTAGGATGGATCTTCGTCTGTCATCTTACAATGTGACAGATGTAAGTGTTCTAACCACACAAGTTCTCTACTAAGACCTTTTTTAACTATTTAACCTACCTGACCTCTATTTTCCTTGTCACCACCTGTTTCAAAAGACTTAATGGTGCCATTTGTTATTATTCAGAATGTAGTCATTAGTTTTTCAGTAGAATAGAAAATACAAAGTGGAAAAACAGATTTATTTTGATTACAGCATCTATATGCAGTAAAAATCTGGCTCTTTTTCTCTTAATATTCACTCTTGAGCTAAAATACCAGTAAAATCTTAATTCAATGTTAGAATATAACATTATTCTGCTGTATTTCTTTATTTTTCTAAATCTCTATGTAGTTTCTGCATACAATTAACCCTATCCATGTTGTCCAGATGTTTCAAGGACTTAAACATGTGATAATCCTTTGACACGGGTAAAGTTTACATACTGTTGCATTTGTTCTTAAATCTCAAGATAGGAGGTAAGTGTTTCTGTATGGAATACCAGAGAGGTATCCTATTCAAACAGGTAATACAAAAACCTGTGCATTACCCACGAACTTGTGGGATACCTTACTAAGGCTTCAGGCTGAGTATAAAGTGGGATATTTCCAATGATACATCTCTTGTTTTTTTCTCTTGATATTTAGTTCTAGTGTTTCTGACCTCAACCCCAGCAGTTGGACAATATAAACAGGCCAGCAGTTTGGTAACATTTCAGACATTAATGGGAAAACAAATTTTGTATTTTGTTCACTTGTTTTCCTTTGCTGTTCACATTAAAAGTATTGTTACGTCTCCGTTTGTTAATTGATTTTTCCGTAACTTCGTTCCGACAAAACTTTAGCGACACAAGTTCTTTACTTAATAAAACTGGTTTATTCTTTCCGAATACAACTTTACCAATACACTCAACTTCAACAATCGCGCTAAACAAACGCTATAACAACGAACGTGCTCAATAATACTTCTGACTGCAGATCAATTACTCACTATTCACACACACATTACATTCCCCTCTTTTATATACCAGCCTACCCTATCTAGCAATTACTAGACCATTCGCCAAGATACGGGATAGTTCTAGAAACAAGAGAGCGTGAGAATTGTCACGTGATCTCGATGACGCAACAGTATTCTTTATTTAACAATCCTGATCCTGTGTTTTTGTAAAAACTTCTGGCTGTTTTGCCAGACATTAGTGTACTGAATACCACAAAAGGTTGAAAATTACCCTCCTTCTCAGATTCAGTAGGTTTTGTTAGTAACCACAATAAAGTTTGCATATTTCACTGATTATATAAAAGTAATTAGGATTTCAAAATCCAAAGTATCAAATCTATTTAGAGTTGTAAATAAGACACATAACAGACACGTACTGTATTTGTTCAGTAACTGATGGCATCTGTTCTATTTGTGAAAATGTTACAATAATATATCAGATATGCATACATTTACCAATAACATAGATTTAAAAATAACGTAGTATACTGAAGACAGCAATGCTTACCTATTATACAATTCATTTTGTTGTAAATTTGAAACCTAAGTAACTAAGAAGATAGCAATGCTTACCTATTATACAATTCATTTTAGTGTAAGTTTGAAACCTAAGTAGCTTAGAAGATAGCAATGCTTACCTATTATACAATTCATTTTAGTGTTAGTTTAAACCTAAGTAGTTTAGAAGATAGCAATGCTTACCTATTATACAATTCATTTTAGTGTAAATTTGAAACCTAAGTAGTTTAGAAAAGAAACAACATTATCATGGATTTATTTTACCTGTAGTATAGCTCCCAGAGTCACTAGCAGGACTTCCTACTTTTTCAGATTCCCACAGTTGATCAAGTCCAAAATCTATAGCACAATTATAAGTTTTTTAATGTTATAATCAAGAAAAATATCTAAGTTATTACGACGAAAGGACTGGATTAGATAGAAAAACATCAACAGCTTTATCTATCTTGTATCTACTATTAGACTTTTTTTTCTGATGGTGTATATAAGGAGAAATTAAGCCTGTATATACATATTGATTATATCTAAATACAATTTGACCCAGAAAAATAAAACTTGGTAATGGATCTCTTGATACAAAGTCTAGTAGGTTGCTTAATAACTATTAAAAGTAAAATTGTAATGACTAAACATTTATTACATATTTCCTGGTTTCCATGTTCTAATTTTAAGAGCATTAATTATTGAAGAAAGAAATTCATGAAATATACTGTTAATATAGACATACAATCTTTGCCACTTAAACTTTGTTTATTTTGATTTTTGTACTTTAGAGACTGAGTACTTAAAATAGGTTTATGTTTTTATAATCAATTTTTAAATGTAGCTTACACATACATATTTTATGCCAGAAGTAAATATTTATTTATTAGAACTTGTACCTATATTTCTAATCTCATGTAGTCTGTTTTTCTTTTTAAATGAACTCAGTAATAACATTTTTTATACCTTTTTTAAGATATACAGTTTAGAAACCTAGCTTTGAATACAAATACATTTAATCATTTGTCCATATAATATGGAAAAATTAATGAAGTTAATCAAGATCTCCAAATTTTTAATCTTCACTCATGATATTTTACAATCACCATTTTCTAATCCTTTAAAAATTAGATTTGAACATTCTGAATATGAAACGTCTTTGTTAATTGTATTTGTTTATAAAAGGAATGGTTATAAGATACAAAATTAATTAATATAGTACCTTATGAGGAATGTTAAAACAGTAAATATCTTCCAAGCAAACAATTTACTAGCTGGCTTGCAAAAAATGCTCACTTTTTTATTCAATCAGTGCCAACATTCGTTGAATGAAAGTTTGTAAATGAATTTTGAACAATGTTAATTAATAATTCAATATAAGTAATGACATACGTTTTATCTAACCAATATTTGTGAAACTGCTTTGAGAATGGTTAATATATATATGGGTACAGGCACCTAAACCAGATCCTCTAATAACTTAATTTTGCTCATTTGTCGTTGCACAGCAGATTTTCACCCACAACGGTGTATAATTGAAGAAACAGACTATTTTCAACACTATATGACCACTTATGACTTTATAGGTTTGACATTTATTTTTTTTATTATGTTATGCTTTATCTTTGCAAATATTTTGATTAAATTTTAAGATTTTAATATATATATATTTTAATTGAGTGTTACAGATTGTAAGTCAAGCTCTATAATCACCAGGCCATTAGTATAGTGTTAATTTAGTCATTCAATATACATAACTATATTTATGTTTTGTTCAACCAATATTTGTGAAACTGGTTTGGAAAGGTAAATATACATATATATATATATATATCTTAATATAGCAAGCATCAATAAACAAAAGATACAGCTCCAACTACAACTGGGTGATCAAGTAAGCAATCTAAACAGTGATGAAAACATAAATACATTCAGTCATCAACATTATGCAAGAAAAACTTCTGAGTTATACCAGTTCTAGCTGTATTCATAAAAAAATTATATACTGTAGTAATATAACCCAAAAAGCCTTGGAGATTTCAATATCCTCACACACCAGTATCTATTAAACACAGGTGAACATCTAGTAAAAATGTAACAAAAAATACAATGGGGTTATGACACAGGTGCTCAAATTCTGAAGGTCCTGAATCACTGTCTATAGCTCTTTGTACCCTAAGTACAATATCATACAACATCATAGAGGATTAGTGCCATGTTTGTATTATTGAGCTTAGAGATGATCACTTCATGCTGCTGGGATATTGTCAGTCTGCCTGGAGTGCAATTTTTAAGTTATGTATTATCAATATCTTAAGAGTTATTGTTGGATGTTTTCATGTGGTACAAGATAAAGGTGTGTTGCATCAGCGAGGTCATGTGACTAGTATCACGCCACGTCCTTCTCGAACCTTCGTGAATTATCAGGAGACTACTAGATTGGGGGTAGTCTGGTATATATAAGATGGTCACAACGTGACGGGACAATGAGTAATTGAACTGTAGTCAGAGAGTGTGTAATTGAGCAGAGTATTGTTGAAGTCGAGGTCGTGAGACATTTGTTTTTGCACGACTGTTGAAATTAAGTGTATCGCAAAGTTATATTCAGAAAGAATAAACCAGTTTTATTTAAGAAAGGACTTGTGTCGCTAAAGTTTCATCAGAAAGAATTTACGGAAAATTAACTAACGACTGGAGGCATAACAAACTGGTGTCAGAAGTGGGATGTCTTTTATTTACAGTTGTATTCCTTGCTTTAACATTGACTGGCTCTACCTCCTGGCACACACCCAACAATGCCCCTTTCTTAAGTGTCTGCTCACATTTTGAGAAATTGGCCACTGTTATAGGTACTACTTGACGACCTGCTACAAGTGACCTTCCAATCTTCAAATCCATTGGCCTGGATGGGTCTTTCACTGCTTCTACAAGCATTGGGCTCCCATGGGGATGTTCTTTTGTCCTACCCCAAATTATCTTCACCGTCATAGGGGTATTGTAGTTGATTTAAGTGCTGTGACATGCAGATCAAGGGATGTAGTAACACTTCCTGGAATCTGGTCTTTGATGTTTCCTAACGTCATTTTA